AATTCTGTTTCATTGTTTTCAAAGGACATAATTCACCCACAAGTAGACCACTTTTTCTGTAGCCAATGCTATGGATATTCTGTCCTTAAGAGTATAAAGGATGAATTTTACTTTCATTTACGAGTCTAATTTAGAAATATTTTTTTCCAAGTTTAAGGTGGAAACAGAAAAATTAGAATTCCTTCTTGGTTTTGGGGGATGCTAGGTGGTCAAATAGCATACCAAATTTCACATAGCGAAATAGTGAAATACAGTCATCCTGCAAATATGAAAATGTCTTTTTCTCGTAGAATTGTCATCCTGTCTATGGGGTTTTTCTTTTGCCTGGTGTCCTAGAGAAATGAGACTTCTGTTATTGCACTGTCTGTTTGCATTTTTGTCTGTTTGCCAGAACCCTTTGACAGTTTTGAGCTCATTCGGTTTGAACCAGTTTGGAGAGAAGGACGGAGGACACAGAGATCCTCAGTTCCCACTGACAGCTGGTGGGAAGAAGAGCTGAGGGGCAGGCAAGGAGCGCTCGGTCGCTCCTCGTCCTGCTCACCCTTTGCAGTACCCAGAGCTTGGCGGCAGCCGGGTTCGGCACACCCAGGGTACTGCGCCAGCTGGAGGTACTTCTCTTGTTACGTCTATTAAGTTTTTATTCCATACATGGTGCTAATATACTACTAGTACCTTTTCTCAAGAAGACTTATTGCAGGATAGGACCGTAGGCAAAGCTACGTGTGAAAACCTCTGGGGCGCCCCAACTTGTTCTGCCTGTCCCTTTTTCTACAGTGACTCCTTTCCAGATCTGAGGGTTTGGAGCCACCGTGAATGCCTCTTTAGGGGCCGTTTGGAAAACATGAAAGCAAGGACAGTACGTGTGACCAAGTCCTCTTTTTCTGGTGTAATGTGAATAACCACCTCCGCCACACATGTCACACAGCACACCTCTGGTGTAAGAGACCGGGGCTGGTGAGCAGGGTGTCACTGCACAGGACTTGCCAGCTCTCCCAAAGTAGGATTTGGCAAGCTGTACTTTTGTTTGATTTCTGAGAATATTTTTTTAAAAACAGTTTTCATAAAAGCCTATCTTGTAGTGCTGCGTTTCAGCAAAGAAAACTGCTTTTGTGTGTCTATAAAGGAAAACTGTGGTAACATACCAGGTGTGCGATCTGGACCAGAAACCTTCAGAAGTCAAAAGCAAAGGACATTTAATCCTGACCAAGCAGACTAAACATTTGGTACGAAAGCTGGAGAACGTTCAAGATAATAATAATGTACTCTGCATGTTGCAGTACATCTCCTCTAGCAGTTGGAGTCCAAAAAGGTCACATCAACCATGAGTGAAGAAAGAAAGGAAAACACTCAGCAAGATGAATATTGCTCAGAGCATTAATTTTCCCATACCGCCTTCCACAGCAGGGTCACAAGCAATTAAGAGTCCTCATAGTGGGAACACTTCCACTGACATACTTTCCTCTCACCCACAATTTTTTCAAATTTCTTACTTTGGGCAGGTGGTAGGTTGTGATCCAACAAAACTCATTTTTATTTGCAAATTAACCTAGAAATTAAATCTTCTCAGACAAAAGGTTGAAGTGTTCTTCCCTTCTATTCTTCTCATTTTGTATGGGGTGAGCTGATCAGCAGCTTTCTGTCCACTACTGTCCACTTCTGTCAAGCTGCAGGAAAAAAATGCAGTGAAAGCATTTATGTTAATATTTACTCAATAAAGCAGGGGTTTATGAAAAAGGGATTGAGAAGCGAAAATGAGAACGTGTGAGAAATACCTTCCTGATCTTGAAGAAACAGAGCCGACAACTTTCACATCAGGGTATTTATTTTAACATTTATATGCTCCTAAATGTTCATCTGATTCCATTTCTCTCTGCAATTTAAGATAAATATCCGAGATTTTGGAAATGAGAAAGAGTCATCATGTTAGCAGAAATGATGGTGATAACATGATGCACCAAAGTGACAAGACGTCTGAGCCATACTCACCTGGGAATCAGAATATTTTCCATTTAACGTCCACTTGAAGGATCACGTGCACCGTTGTACGTGTCTGCACTGGGGTACATGCGGTGTCCCAGGGGACCTGCACGATCCCCTACACACTCGGTTACAGTGACTGTTTAAAGACATGGCATATCCTTTGCACCTCGCGTATCTGTTCAGATTTTTATATCATGCCCATTGACATGCTGTCTGAGTGCTTCTTTGATTGTGTTACCCATTTGAAATGCCATTTTATCTATGGGTATCTGATAGCACAATCATTCATATGCAGTTGACTGCATTTATTTGTGGCATGACTTAAATGGATGCACCTGCAAGGCTACATAAAAAATCACCTGAGCCTATAAACTGGAATTGAAGGAAAGCAACAGAATGCACATTTCAGTGTTATTTCTCGTTCTTTGGCACTCTACTTCAACATCTTTTTTCTTCTCAAAGAGGAGAGAGGATTTCATTTTTTTGCAGGGCTACTGTACGGATACAGTAGACATCGCTTTTTAGAGCAAGCAATTTTTTAATGTTCTTTTAAGGAAATTTATATGTGCATATGTATATGCATATTTATATTTCTAACCCCCCCACACACCTGTTTTCTGTCATGTGAATGTTCCAAAGCAATCATTCATTTTTAATTTCAGCAAGACAGGGCCGTCTGCTGCGTCCTGCTGGCGCTCCAGGCTCTCTCCTCAGCCTCTGACAAAGCCTCCACTCTCCCCCCCGGCTCCCTCCTGCGCAGTACCCCGGCCCTGCTGCACCTGCCTCTCCTTCCACCTCATCCTCCTCTGTCTCACGAGGAAGGCTCCCTGACACCTCCAAGACCCCTGGAGAGGGTGGTCCGTGCCCAGCAGCCCCTCACTGAGTGGAGCAGGGCTGCTGCAGCCAAAGCTGCACAAAACACCCCAGGTGGGGACAGTGGGAGAAAATTCTCCTTCCTCTTCCCTGGAGAGGGGGAGATGATCACCAAATAAAGTGCATTTAAATTAGTTCAATCAGAAAACACCTTGTCTGCAAAATTAATTGTGGGCAGTGATAGCAGGTATACAGGTTTGCCTTCTGAAGTGTCCTGGGAGTTTGAGAGTTCTGCATGAAATGGCTTAGCACAAGTGAAAGCCACCAAATTGAGTTGTGGAACTGGGGTCCTAAACTCTTTGGAGTGAAACAGGTGTGTATCTTTTAGAGAAGGTGCTTTGCATACCAATATGGCATTTGTAGACATTTAAAACCCTGTAGCAATATCAAACCCTGAAATTGTGTTTCCTGACAGCGTGTTGAGTGCCACTTGGAAAGGGTGGACACATCAAAGGCTTCCCAAAGTGGCAACCCTGGATGGCCACAGCAGCCGTGCTTCATGGAGAAATGTCTGGTTCATGGGAACATCACAACTTTGCTGCCGTTTGGGGAAACTATTGTTGTGCCTTTTTTATTTCATAGAATCATAGAATATCTTGAGTTGGAAGGGACCCATAAGGATCATCGAGTCCAACTCCCTGCTCTTTGCAGGACTACCTAAATTTAGACCATATGACTAAGGACATCGTCCAGATGCTCCTTGAACTCTGACAGGCTTGGTGCCCTGACCACTTCCCTGGGGAGTCTGTTCCAGTGACTGACCACCCTCTCAGTGGAGAACCTTTTCCTAACATCCAATCTGAACTTCCCCTGATACACCTTCATACCATTTCCTCATGTCCTATCGCTCGTCACCAGAGGGAGGAGATCAGCACCTCCCCTTCTGCTGCCCCCCTTGAGGAAGCTGTAGACTGGGATGAGGTGACCCCTCAGCCTTCTCTTCTCCAAGCTGAACAAACCGAGTGACTCCAGCCACTCCTCTTAAGTCTTGCCCTTGAGGCCTTTCACCGCCTTGGTCGCTCTCCTCTGGACACACTCTAATAGTTTGATGTCCTTCTTATATTGATGCGCCCACAACCACACACAGTACTCGAGGTGGGGCTGCACCAGTGCAGTGTAGAGTGGGACAATCACGTCCCTTGACCAGCTAGCAATGCTGTGCTTGATGCACTCCAGGACGCTGTTGGCCCTTTTGGCTACCAGGCACACTGTTGACTCATATTCAACTTGCCATCAACCCGAACCCCCAGATCTCTTTCCGCGGGGCTGCTCTGCAGCCTCTCATCCCCAATTTGTGTGTATAACCAGGGTTACCCCATCCCAGGTGGAGAATCCAGCAGTTGCTCTTGTTGAATTTCATATGATTGGTGAATGCCCAGCTCTCTAGTCTACCCAGATCTCTCTGTAAGGCCTCTCTACCCTCAAGGGAGTGCACAGCTCCTCCTAGTTCAGTATCATCGGCGAACTTGCTTAATGGACATTCAATTCCTGTGTCCAGATCATTTATAAAAACATTAAAGAGCACTGGCCCTAAAACTCAGTCCTGGCGAACCCCACTGGTGACAGGCCGCCAGCCTGATGTAACCCCATTTACTATATAACTCTTTGAGCTATATAACCCACTATAACTCTTTGAGCCCAGCCTGTCAGCCAATTGCTCACCCGACATACTATGGACTTGTCTAGCTGTGTGCTGGACCTTTCATCCAGAAGGATACTGTGAGAGACAGTATCAAAAGCTTTTGATTTCTGGTTGCGTTATTGTATTTATTTGGGGGGGGGGGCTTACAGTGACCTCAGGATAGAGCACCCATGACCCAGCTGGAAGAGGATGACAGGAAAATCCAACAGGGCTCATGGTTCGCAACAATTTCTGTCTGCTTGCCAACAAAATAAACATCCTGGGGTTACTGTGGTTGTTGAATCGAGCTGCAGATGTGGTGCATAATAGCTCTTGCGAAGAGGTGTATTATTTGAATCATTAAAATCACTGAAAAGATAAAACCAAGCAAAGAAAACTGGGAATAACGCTGACCTCAAATAATTTCTCTGTCTTGTTTCTACCTAATCAGATAATAAAGGAAATAATCCGCTAACTCAGGTGCCGCTCATGCTTTCTGCATTTTTGCCTGCGGGAGGGATTATGTATGGGTGGAGATGATGAGACCAGGGTCTGCTCCGCACGAAGGGGTCTTCTGCTGCCTTCGACTACCTCCCGGGAGGCCGTTGCTGGAGCCGCGCGCTCCACGACGACGGACAACCGCCGAAACCACCACGAAAAACCGCCCAACCGGCCCGCACCCGCCGAGGCGAGACGCTGGGGCGGAGCCCCAAGAGTAATTCTTTTGGGTTTTATCATTGCTGTGCGGGAGGCGCCCCATTTCTCAATCGGGGCACCCCGGTTTTTTACGCCCCGCGAAGGCGGCGAAGCAACTCCGATGCTGCGGCGTCAGCATCCATCTTCTCCCTTCCATCTAGGAGCACTTCGAACCGGGGGCCACCGACGCCCTCCGCCTCCCGGCGGGGC